TGACTGGCTAAAGAAGCTGTGGTACATATATACAATGGAATATTACTCAGCCATAAGAAGAGATGAATACTGCCATTTGCAACAACATGGATGGACCTTGATATAATAATACTAAGCAAAATAAGCCAGACAGAAAAGGTTGAAAATCACATGATATCACATATGTGTGATATAAACCTAAAAGCAACAAAAAGTTTGAAAGAGCTAACGAGTATAAACTCTGACCACAGAGCTTTTCAAAGACTGTAAGTTCTATTCTGATGGCATGTATTATATTGTTGAATATACTATCAAAACTTTTCTAAAACTAAATTAATTACTTTAATTTACCACATCGAATATACTAATATTCAAGGAAGTTTTGAAAGGGCTGGATTTTGTTGTTTCTTTTACTTATGTACTTTCTTCCTTATTAAATAATCATCGATTTTATTGAAATACCTGAATGAACAAGGTATGAAAAAAGTAAAATACAATTAATCTATTTTCCAACATTTTATTATGAAAAATTTTAAACGTATACAGAAATTCTAAGAGAAATCTATTTTAATTTCTAAAAATATAAAATAGTATACTCTTTAGGTTCTTTTCAAATGTATAAACACTTTAAAAACTATATACTGTTAAAACTCAAGTTATCACCCACCGCTTTCATATAATTTTTAATATTTCTTTGCTATAAGTTAATTGTTTATAAACTGAAATCTCTTTCAAAATAATTTTCTTCATCTTCTTACCTTATTTTTTAAATGAGTCTGGCACAGCAGAAAGGGTAAATTAAATCTTCGTACTCTCTATATGTATTGGATGTTATGTATCAATAATAAAATAAAAGCTTAGATAGCAAAAAATAAAAAAAAATAATAAATTATTTTGCACAATGCCACTCAGTTATTGAATGTTGGAGTGAGGCTTCAAACTTGTTTTGTCCAGCATCTTAGCTTATGTGGTTCTAATTTGATCCACTGATTGAACGCTGTTTGCTATAATAATGATTAAATCACTTGTCCCTTATCTAGAAGTCTTGGAAATAATGATGGGGAACTTATATCTAGAATCAGATTTTGGTCCATATGTCATGAGAATTTTATCCTCTGAGGGTTACTAAGGGGTTACATTTATATTTGATGTCGAAATCATGAACTGGTGCTTAACCACAGGAACTGGGCAAGCTTTGGCATTAAGTTTGTTTGGAATGGTCCTGGTTTTAGCACTGAAAAATCTAATGTCTAAGAAAAACCATTTGTCCCTAGCTGACCAGCAGAGTTAGTGACCATAGGTTAATGAAAATAGAGAAGTCAGTGGAGAAGAGACTTGTTTTACAACAAATTAACCAAAGTTTTGTGTGTAATTTAAAATAAACCTTATGTACAAGTAAAAATAACTAACTAAACTAATTAGTAAAGCTTAATTCTGGTTAATATCTTTGATTCTGTGGATCTGATGTGATAATCCAGCCCTAGGTGTTATCTCAGTAATGAAAGATAAGAAAGACTGGAGGTACCGTTCTTTCAAAGAGGTTAAAGAGACCAGCTAACTAATGCAACATATGATCTTAGATTAGATTCTGGACCAAATAAGTAGAGGAAAGAGAAAGTTTCCTGTTTATTTAACTATAAGGACGTTATTGAGGAACTGAGGAAAACTGAATGGAATCAGTAGACTAGATGGCAGTAGCGACTGTTTCAACATTAATGTCCTAATTTTGATGGCTATGTAGGAAAGCAGCTGTGTTTTTAGGAAACGAAGGGCTAATTGGTCATGATGCCTGCAACTTACCCGTAATTGGTTCAGAAGAAAAGTTTTATCTACATAAATAATAAGGTGAATGTGATAAAGTGTTAACTGGGGAATGTCAGTGTAAGTTGCATATAGGAGTTCTCTGTACTATTTTTAAACTTTTCTGTAAATCTGAAATTATTTCAACTTAACAAAAAAATAAAGGTGAAATAAACATTTTGAGACAAAAAAATAATAAAGTACAGGAAAAAGATCAGCTATACTATGAATCAAATAATCTTAAAATCTGGTGACCGAGATTTTGCTTATTTTACCTTTTAGATTCTTTGGAAGAATGAAGAAATTCTCTGCTAGAAATGCAATCTCTGAATTCTCCAATTATTGAAAGTATAATTTTACGCATGTTTCCATAAAAGAGCTGAACATCATTAGGCCGTTGGGGAAGATCATACACTGAAATAGAAAATGTTTGAAATACATGAATCTACATAATCAAACCACAAAATAACAGGTAAATTTATATATTTTCGACCACAAAATATTACTTCCTTACGTTAGGGGTAGGTGATATTTTGATTTTTGATACTACTGACTAGTGTAAAATTATAGGCAGTTCAGCATCAATAATCAGTAGCTAAGGCTCTGGCCTTGGATTTGAGCTACAATCTTGCCAGTCCTTAGTTCCGTAACCTCTGGCAAATTAACTTCTCGAAGCTTTAGATTCCTCAAGTAGAACATGGAGTAACAATCTATCTCAGGGGTTGTTGAGAACATTAAAATAAGAACATTTTTAAAGATATATGTGGCACGAACATTTATATAAAGCTTACTGTGGGCCAGGCACTGTTCTAATCCCTTTGTATCTATTAACCTAATTGTTTTTCACAACTCTTTGAGGTAGGCATTATCTTCTCCATATCAAAGAGAAGGAATCTGAAGCACAGAGGTTAAAAGTATATAATTTTAAGTGGTGATCTCACAGATGTTTAACTTAAGCAAATTTAGAAACCAGGCAATATTAATTAAATATTGTAGATTAATAATATAGTGCTGGAGTTGAATACCTCTAAATCACTCCTCCTGAATTTATACACACAAGAAATTTTATAGAACACGTTTGTATTCTACATGTAAGTTAGATATTAAGAATTATACTTTTTAAATGGAAATTTATAATAACCAAGACATGTGACTATAAAAGTTTAAATCAACTGTGAAAATATGTACTACTTACACATTTTGCAAAAGATTATAAATGCCAGTAATAGAAATATGCTCAAACAAATGGTATTCAAAATAATCATGCAGAAAGTTCAACTGCAATATATTCATAGGTGATCTACTACACTAATAGAAAACAAAGTAAGATTGTTTCTTCCTTTCACCTGAATGATAAATATACCATCTTAAGTAATCCAAATTCCTTGAGGTAGAATCTGGCATCCCAAAAATCTCCTGAAGTCTCAGTTCAACCCCATCTCAGATGGGTGATCTCAGCAGGTTACTTATCTCTTGGTTGTCTTTATACACATGACCCTTAATACATCTGTTGAATTTCTGTACACGCAGCTCCCTCTCCCTGGAACATCCTTTCTCATTCTGGTCCCCATCTTCTCCACCCTGTCAACTCTTCCTCATTCTCTAAGATTCCTCATTCTAAGTGGGAGTACCCTTCCTCTGTGCTCCCCCAGATTCCTAAACACAGCTCTATCATAGCATTTTTCACACCATACCTTAATCATCTGTCTTCCTCTGAGCCTATAAGTCCCCAGAGGGCAAGCACTGCATCTTTTACCTCTACAGACTGGCACCCTGTACTCTCAATTCATGTCTATTCAATTCATGAATGAAATGCTGCTGAATCATGAAACTGTGCCAAGCTCTGAACCACTATAAACTTAGGCTACCTACTTTCAAACACAGTCTTCACTATTGTTGCAATATGTTACTAAGTTTATGTTCCAACTACACAGCATAATTTAGTTTAACTCTTTTATTGGGATCTTTCTTTGAGGAAGAGATAAGGTGAAGATCAGAGGAGCTGAAGTAGTAGAGATGGGTCTTTGAGTTTCAACTCCAAATCCAAGGTTCTTTCCATATTCTGCTCCTTTAACACACTGTTGACAAGATCCATGTCAAATCTCTACATTATTTTTAATTAACCCCAACTGCTGCCTTCCTTTTGAGTAGACTCCTAATTACTGAAAAGATCAGACTATTCTATATTACCTCCACATAGGCATAAGTATCCTTTTCCTTTATCATTTCACATTTCAGAAGCAATATATATTTCATCCTTTAAAATTTAAAAAAAAAAATAGAAGAAAAAAACTATCACCTGAAATTCTATCACTAGAACATAACTATTGTTAATATTTTGGTGTGTCTATTACTGCAATTTTACCTATGTAGCTATATATAAACACATTATTTTTATACCAAAATAAGATCTTACTATGCGAACTTTAAAAATAATTTTTTCTTAATAAATGAAGAGCTTCTCATGTCATTAATATAAAATCACATCACTGTTTTAATAGCTTCAAAATATTACACTGCATAATTAAGCAATTCCCTACTCTTGGGCCTTTATTGTTACCTGTAACATAACACAGCCCAAAGAGGGCTAAACATCTAAGTTAGAGTCACTCCATCATCTATTTGGGATTTTTTTTGGCCACTATCACATCCTCTATGACCATACAATAGGCACAAAAGCACAGAAATCTCAAAATCAGTGTAAGCTTTCAATCATTAAATCTTAAATAGTAATTAATCTGAATTTAGTAACAATTATTCTCCTGTTTAAAAGTCTACCCACAGAATAGGTGCAATAATATATTAAATATCTAACATTTACATAGCAAAGCTCTCTCATTTTATCTTCACAATATTTCTGTATGGATGAGAAGTTAGATATTATTATTATTCTCATTTTATAGATAAGAAAACTAAATTTCAGTGATGTCATTTGTCCAAAGTCACATAGCAGAACTGTGGCTCAAACTAAGCCTGACACCATATCTAAACTAATACTCTTCCTCCTTATATCACATCACTAGACCTAGATAATACTACAAATGACCCAAAAGATTTAAGACATGTTGAAATCCTTACCTTCAGTTACTAGTAGCTCATCTTGAAATGCTTCGGCAAAATTAATATTCTGCAACACACTATTCTCTGGAAGTATCTGTTCTAGAATCCTTGGTTTATGCAACAGAGCTCTGTCAGAAAAGATTTTTATTCAAAAGTGCTTTTACATATAAAATGACCTTAATTAGATTTTTATTAGTGTATTTGGCAAATTCCACCAACAGCATGAAACATTAGTACATAGCTCTCATGTCTTAAATCAAATGTAAATAATTTAAAAGAAAACCTGTTTTGCAAATTGCCTTAAAAGTTATACATGGAAGTAAACCATCAGTTTCAGTTAAATATTAACATCAGAACAAGAACTCCCTAATATAAGAGTAGAAAGAATAATAAAATTAGATTCTTTTCAGGTTTTACATTATCATTATTTGTAATAATTTGGCCACAGAAATCTCCCAAAAAAAATATGTCAAAAAATGATACACATAAACCAGGAGAGGGGGACATTTAAATTGCCATATAACTATGTTTATCTGGCCTCTTCTACAGAATCTTTAAGGTGTGAGAACTGAAATGTAAATTTCTCTGTAATACTCAGATGTTCACAGACAAAAGAAATCTCATTAACCTAAATCTGTATCAAAGAGGAGTTCTAAAACAATACTCCGATTTCTATCTCTCAGTAGAGAGAAAGGAAAAAAACCCAAACGTGTTCATCTAATTTCTCCAAATGTCAGTTTCTATTTCTAAAATACTTAATTGAAAAACAAAATCAGGTTCAAAGTTGAGCTGCTCATATTAGGTCTGTTCTAACATCATGTAGCAATTTCTCATTAATCTCTCTCTTTTTAAACATTCCAATAATCCTCGAGAGATTAAAGATAAAATACAATATCCTAAATTATGCATCAGAATAAAACACAGCAGAGTAAAGGTTGGAAGAAGACTGGTATATGCATATACCTCTCTCCTACTGGGAGCTAAACATTTCCTACTAACAGATGAAACATCGTGAACTTCATACTTATTTTATAGTCAGGTCTTCTAGACTAGGAAACAAAACTTTATAAGAACTTTAAATTCAACATACAAGAATATTACCTATCTTTAAATCATACCTAAACCTAAATAAATACCTAAATTTGACATTTCATCCTAAACCTAAATACCTAAATTTGATATTTCATCATACTATATTGAAACTAGATGTACCAAATTTTCCAGAAGTACATGCTTTAAGTAGCCAACCAACTTAAACATCCTACACATTTCGAAAATATACCTTGATCCTTTCAAATCACAACTTTCCCAGAAATATTCCAAATAAGTCAGGTGTGTTTAGACAATATACTCTTTCAGTAGTTCTTAAGTCTTTTCTGAAATCAATCTACCATCACTACAAAGATGGTCCTATTATAAAGTCTGAGGCTCCCATATGAGTAAAGAAGAGGCACAATATAATGCCTAGAAAAGGGAGCACAATGCAAATATAGATGAGTTTCCTACAGGCATTTTCTTCTTCACATTATGGTAGCTTATTAGCTACACAAATTTTACCAAGATTTTTTCACCTACCAGTTCATTAATTCCAAACCAATTTTTAAGCCTTGACTATTTCTACTGAATAGGTCCTAATACCATCTAAGTAAACTACCTTCGATACTGCTGTCTTGAAATTTCATCTCCACCAAAGAAGTATACAGTTGACAGTTCTGTTGCAGTTTTGTAACTGCTTTCTCTGCTTGATGGATTATATATTATAGTAACGTTCTGGTGCCAAAAAAAAAAAAAAAAAATCAAGTGAATATTAAATATTTAAGTTATCGTATTCTGAATAAACTGTCATACAAGCCTAACAGTCAATATAGACATGAATGCATATGTATAGTATTTCCGAGAAGTATTCCTATTCCTAAACACACTTCAAATATTACTTGTTTTTAGCCATAAAATATATAATTATTAACTTAAGCTAGAAATGAGTTTATATTTTTAGTGTGGAGACTCATTTACTTACTTCTTGTGTATTTTCCTTGAGCACAAATTTATCTGGAAAAATCCTGAATACTTGAGGATCCAGGAAAACTTTTTTCTGAGAATCCTTAAAACCTACTGCTTTAACAAAAGCTGCTCGAGAGCCAGTGTTACGAATAGAAAAAACAATTCTACTTTCTTTGCCAGGTATTAAGTCATTCAAGGTTACCATGTAACTGTCAGATAATTTTTTAACATCTTCCAAAATAAGATTACTTGTTCCTCCATATCCAGACAAGGGTATCTGAAAACACATAATGTACATATACACTCAAAATTATTTTTATGTAAGTCAAAAGCAAAGATTAAATTATGGTCAAAGAAGAAAATACATACAGATTTAACACAATTAAAATTATTATTCTTTTTGTACTATGGCTAGTAGTTACCCCACTTCCAGTCCAGCATTATATTAAAGACTTTGTCTTAGAGAAAAACAAATCAAAGAGCTGTAAAACTATTTTCCTTCCAATATACTAAGAATAATTATTTAATTGTTATAAAAGCCAATCTTAGATAACAAAAGAATAAAAGTACAGTTATAGATATGCTTAAGAAGTGTATAGGGTGAAATATACGGTTAACTAAAAAAGCCCAATCCCGTCTGATCTTGGAAGCTAAGCAGGGTTGGGCCTGGTTAGTACTTGGATGGGAGACCACCTAGGAAAACCAGGTGCTATAGGCATAAAAAATAAGGGATTGTAAGCTGACAAGGTCCTTGCAATCTGAGGTCAACCAAGGGTTGCCTCGCCTAAAAGAAAAAAAAAGAAATACAGGGTTAAACATACTGATATTTGTAATTTACTCTGAAATGCATTAAAAAATAGATGAGTTGATGGATGGTTAGATATGTGATAAAAGAAATACAGCAAAACATCAATTATAGCATCTAAGTGGTAGAGTATCTGAGTTCACTGCATAATTATTTGAACTCTTCACTAATTCTGAATTTTTGAAATGAAATGTTTTGTGGGGGAAAGTCTACTGTCATATAATTCTGTTAGCTTTTGGTCTAGCAGAGTCAGAGAGAAGTGTGCCAAGGGACCAAAAAGAAGCCAAGGACTCAAATAACTCTCAGAGGACAGGCACTCTGGTAGCGGGTGTGTAGACTAGAGGCAGGTTGTAGGTGCTGACTGGTGCTGATGCTCAGCCAAGCTGCTTCCACAGGGCACAGTGCTACCAGGAAACAAGGATTCACAGAACAAACTCTATAAATAAGAATGTAGGAAAATAGGCACCCCGTTAGAAAACAAACTTTTCATACCCTTTAAAATGCACTCCTTTAAAAATGATCTTTCATTCTTAATTAAAATAGGTTACAAAGAATTCCTTGCAAACCTGAAAACATAAAATAGCTTGAGCTGTGTTATATATCTAATTAAAATAACATTTTGAAAAATTAAATTTAACCTCCTCATAAATGGGTACTGGCTTCCCTTTTAGTACAAATAGAATTTTAAAGGGCTTCAAATCTAAGTTCCTACAAATCTCACCTAATTCAGAATGAACTCTAGCAGTTTCAAGAGCCAAAAGTGTTTCTAATTTTTCTTTTCTCACAGAAACTTACAAGTAAATTTTACATATGAAACTAGAAAACAACAGGAAAAAGTTAGGTTTTAAAAACATTTAATACATGGATGGACCTCGAGATAATCATGCTAAGCGAAATAAGCCAGATTGAAACAGTAGAAAATCACATGATACCACTTATATGTGGGATATAAACCTAAAAGCAAAAAAAGAACAGGACAAACAGAGACTCATGGACTATAGACTAGTGGTTACCAAAGGGTAGGGAGTGGGGGAGTAGGGGATAGGTAGACAGAGTAAAGGGGGTCAAATATAGAGGGGGAGGGTAAAAGGGATCAAATATATGGTAGCTGAAGGAAACTAGACTTTGGGTGGTAATCACACAATAGAATATATAGATGTCAAATTATAATGTATGCCTGAAAATTACATAATTGTATTAACCAATGTTATCCCAACAAACTTATTTTAAAAAAGTGATTACTGATAAAATAAATAAAATCAAAAACACTTAATATATGGATTTCATTAACCAATGTCCCCATAAAAAAAAGATGGATGAAAAATAAGAAATAAAATAAACAATATATGTATTCTTCCTGTATTTTCAAAGCCTAAGGAATCATAAATAACTACTGAGTAAAAGGTTAAGAAGAATGATAAAATAAAACAAAATTTGACTACTGCTAATAAATCCAAATATTCAACTGGAAAAACTATCACTCTACAGTAAAATTTCTTAACTTCAGCACTGTGGACATTTTGGTCAGATTATTTGTTATGGTGGGGGCCATCTTATACACTGTTGGGTATTTAGCTGCATCCCTGGCTTCCCCCCACTAGACGCCAGTAGCATCTTCTTCCCACCCACAGTTATGACAACGAAAAATGTCTCCAAAAATTGCTGAATGTCCCCTGGAGGATAATATGGCCTCTGGTTGAGCATCGCTGTTTTAAAGCACTAGAAAACAGAGAGCTAGTATAAATACCTAGAGCCTGCACAACAGATAAATGTGGGCTCTGTAGTCAGGCAGCCTGAATATAAACCGGCCTGGACTATGTACTGGTAAGATGCACAACCACAGGCATTCATCTCTCTGGGCTTCAGTTTCCACATGTGTAGAACAGAGACAGTGGTATGATCTCAGACAGTTATTTTGAAGTAAAATGTGATAATCCATGTAATGATTTAGAGTAGTGCCTGGCATACATATTCAGCATGTAGTAAATACATTTTTATTATAGTCCCATCATGCTTTATAGAATACGAAGCATAGATAATTTCATTTGTTCCTCAGAACCACACCAAGAAGTTGGGGTTGCAATTAACTGCATTTCAGATAAGGGAATGAAGCATACGCAAGTGAAGTGACTGATCAAGGGTGATTGTGAAAAACAGAGGCAGATCTGTTCCTGATTCTCTCGGGAGTGCTCTTCTAATACTCTACCTGGCTACTTATCTCTACAAAAATGCATCAAAGTTAATGGTCTAAGTCTTCTTATGAGATAAGAATCATATTCTGTGCACATCAGGTTCCATTCCACCCACCTCTGAGAAAAGACAGGTAGCATCTACTTAAGTAGAACTCCCACTAGGATCCTGGTTTGTCTTAAGAGGGCATCAACCAGAATTTCTGCTTGGTTAACTGTCAAATTAAAGGTTCTGCCCTAAATGACCAGGGAATCGTTTGTTTTCCAGAGATTCCTGCTTAGGAATAACCTCAGAATCTTGGTTAGCAAACCTGAAACTAATAAAAATATATTCAGAATAGTCTAAAAGATAAAGCCCATTCAGTCCTCTCCATAAACCACTTGGATCCTTACCTGTAACCCGATATCAGAGTATGTAGTACTCTGGCATTGTGTCCTGGGCTCACGTAGAAAGATATTAGTGCTATTTCACTCACCATAGCCCACAGGGGCAACTGAACAGCTCCAGGGAGAATATGTCAATTCCAGCAACAAATAAAGCTAGATTTGTCATAAATATCTATTTTAAAAAATAAATCTTTTTTGAAAGTATTGTTAATCTTTATCTCATTCTTTCTTTGACACTAGGAAATGAACCAAAATTTTACTCCCAGCCCCACTGCCAAACAACTCTGCAGTTTTAAGGTATGCACTTTAATGGAGCTTGGGTTTCATTTTCCTTTTCTCGATGATCTATCCCCTTTTATCTCTTAGTGCTTTGAATGTATCTAAAGAAATTATTTGAAATGCTTTTTTTAAATTATGGTAAGAAACAAAATATAAAAACTCTTATCTTTGTATTCTGAAACAGTCTAGCAAATAGTGTCAATAAATATTTTAAACTAAATGAATAAAATTTAATTGGAAAGACAGTACCTTAAGCAGTTTGATCTGGACTTACCAAAATATGTGCTCCTGTAAAGTTAGGTACATTTCAAAATTCTCAAACTGAAATGAACTTAAAATCTTTAGAAGAGGTTATTACTTAGAGGAGTACTATGGTGGCTGCTTTTATAATATGACAATACTGTATTATACATAATTACTCCCTAATTTGTCTGTAAATCTCAGCAATCACGTATTTTGACTTATAATAAGCAGCACATATACTCTATGGGAGGAAATAAAACAATAAAATTATCTTACCGTGAACTTAATGCCTGGTTGTGATCGAATTCCAAGTTGTTTAATTTCTAGTTTAGCCAACATACAAGATAATCGAGTAGGTGCAAATAATACAGAGATGTTAATGTCTTCCTTTGGACGAATTTTGATCTCACAGTTATTGGTTAGTCGTTCTTCTGAACCAAAAGTGTGCTGAAGCTACAATTTAAAAACAATTGCTGCATAAAACAAAGCTGTAGCACAAATACAACATGCCAATAACACAAACTCTTTAAAGACAACACAAAATGGTCTGCTATGTATATGTTCTAGATCCAAACAGAACATAGAACAAAATCATGCACTCTACACACCTGAAAGCAGTCCTGATCTTGTCCTCTAATAAGCAGTCGTAAGTGTTGGGCTGTAGACGTAGAATTATTTCTTAAAGCTAGTCTCTGAAGCCTAAAAATGATTATAGATTTTAAATGTGTTTTTCTTCCATGGATATTGCTACAACTATAAAAACAAAGCCAATGAACACCAGTTGCAATGTTCAGAGAAGACTGATTGCACATGCCATTTTAGCAGCCTGGAATTGTCTCTTCACAGTCCTAGAACTCTACATTTCTGAAAACGTATGCTGAAGATTGATAACAGAGAAACTTTATGGTTTAATCTCCTTAGCTGTCCTTATTATTTATACTCTATGTATAGGTATTATCTGTCTTATAAAATATCAATGAAAATCCAGATTAACTTTACTTTGACAAAATTACAATGCAAGTAGAATGAACATATGAATAGCAGCTGGCTGGTAGTAAGAAAATCTTTCAATCTTTGAATGTATATAAATCGTCTCCTCACTGGAGAATAAATCATGAGTAAACCTCTATTTTTCTGAAATTTTGAAGATTGGCAGTTAAATTATTTAAGCTGTGGTCTATGCCCTGTCCCCTTTGTGTTCAAAGGGAAGGCTGCTGAGCTTTACCTCAGAATAAAATCTAAGATCTTTTGCTATCGGCACACCTGAGAAAAATCTTCCGAGGTAAACTGGCTGGAAAAGACTAACCTGAAAAAACAATCATTAAAAAAAGTTTTAACTTTTATTTATTTTTTATTTGAATGAAATGTTCATTTCAAATAGCAGAGGTATTTGGGCCTTAGTTTCTAGTTTTCAAAAAGAACTATGTAAAATACAAAGTATTAACACCTTTATTATATAAAGATCCCACACAAATTAATAAGAAAACAATATTAAAATCCTAACCAACAAATACCTAAAGTATGTAAGCAGACTTATAAGAAACCAGAATGACTAAATACATAGAAAAATACAGAACTTCAAAAATCTAAAAATATCAAGTTGGAATAACACTTTAGACAACTTTACCCATAGAAAACATAATTTTATTAATTATCATTCCTACCTGCAACTGAGGCAAAACCCATTAACTCAATGAGAATACTGTCCCCAAAATTTTAATTTTTTCCTCCATACGCTGGAAGAAGAGCTCACTTTAAATCCCCCTTTTGCAACAGCCACCTTCAAGTCAGGCAGGAAGCAGGCAAGTACTGCACAGGAAGAGCACTCAGTAGGGCAGCACTGTGCAACATCATCTCCCAGACAGTTTCTGAGTTCCTTCCTAGCACCTACTGAGTCAGAGCCTCTGTCTGCCTCCTGGCACATTTCACAGGGGTTGAGAAAATAGGAAGATTCCTTTTTAAGGAGACAGTATACCTCTTTATCATGAATTATACTGCAACATATTTACAGAGGAGTGGTGGGAGCTATTTGTGGTGCCAAAAATTGGTGTTCTATGCAGGACACCAACACAGAGGTGAGGAAAACTGAAGAAACACAAATCCATAATTTAGGTAGGTACTGCATGAAATATTTCCATTTAATGCTTTGGAATTATTACTTTCACAACAAACAAACAAACAAACAAACAAAAACACTTTTAGCCACCATGTGGAGCACCATCAACTGACTAGGTAGAGCTGTTCTCACAGGACTGGCAAGCTCCTCCAGGCCAAGGTAAGACATCTAACCAACTCCTGTAAATAGGGCACATGAAAGGCTTTTCAGGTTGGTTCTCTGCATTGGCATGGTACTTACTCATACACCTGTGAGATTAGAAGGAAGTCCATGAATATGAGGAAGTGAAGTTAAGAAGGACAGCCTGAAGGCCCCTCACGCAGGAAAGGGCTAGGGAAAAATGCCATTGACAAGTCCAAAAGTAAGTACAAAACAGTGTCTCTGTTTTCAACTTAACGTACTTTCTGATTTTAAAAAAGTTTTAGCACATGTCGCTTTTGTTTTAGATGAGTTGTGATATTTCAGGATGGTATGGCATTTGAGGAGCAGCTGGATTTTAGAATAGCCATCTCTACCATATTAATAATTTATTACAAATTTTATCACAAGGCAGGGAATTCTGTCACTAACACAAAAATGATGACGGATTTTTTTTTAATTATTATCTACGCCTACACCTGGTCTTCCTAGGTGGTCTCCCATCCAAGTACTAACCAGGCTCAACCCTGTTTAGCTTCCGAGATCAGACATCAGGCTTGTTCAGGGTGGCATGGCCATAGACCATGGACCGTGGCTCCATTGAGGCACGAACCTAGGACCTTCTGGGTGTAAAGCAGACGTGCTAACTGGTATACTATGGAAACATGTCCGATGATGGATCTTACTGAGTATTTTCTGCCTCTGACATATTAGACAAGAGCAGTTGTAGGGTAAGTGCTACGATTACTAGGGCAAACAAAATTTTCCTCTTTTTAACTTAGACATTAATGGCTAACCTAAATTATTCTGGCCATCTTCCACAATGCAACTAAAGGCCTCAATCAACTATTTGTACATGTGTTGGAGCAGACCACAAATTAATGTTTTGAGGAAAAATTTGGCATAGAGATACTGCTCAGGTTCAACTGTACAAAACCAGAAAAACCTTCTCTACAGGCACATGTCCTTGTCTAGTCCTTCCCTTCAACATGTCAATCCTGATTCCATCTTAACTGACTGTAAAAAGCATACAATATATATAACCAACAACACAAGAACTACCGAAGAGGGTGTACTACCTCACTCACACTCACTGCCACATAGGATTTTTCAAAAGTCTAGCTGACGAGAAATCTTTATGGAGAGCTGATTAAAGAACACACAGTCCATGCATTCTTCTAGGTGCCTCAGGTATTTCAAAATCAAACTTCTATGTGTCTCAACACCCAGAGAAAGCCATCATTGGGTGTTCAGGTTTGATGCATCCAGTCCAGACTGGAGCACCTCAGAGAGGAAGCATCCTGATGGAGTACTTATTTGTGAAGTTGTTTTTCTTTGAAATTCATTATATTACATGAATTTCTCTTTAAAGTCACCCCTGGAAAAAACATCTCTCTAA